ACAAAAGAATGTAGATTGATTCATAATATATAAAATTTTGTTTTTTGAAAAGTGTTGTTAGGAAATGTTTTGAGCATTTCAAAACTTTCAATGACAGAATTAAAAGTTTTGAACTGCTCAAAATGTAGAATAGATATTGTGAAACTTGTTCATAGACAAAAGTTTAAAGTTATTTGAATTTAAAATTCTTGTTTGTTTAATTAAATAATTAAAATCAGTTTTATATACATATACGTGTATCCCCTGTACAACGTGACATTCATACAACACAGTTTAAGAATTGGGGATAACCCTCGTACAACATGGTGTTCTTACAACATGGTTTCACTCTAACACTGTTTGAGAACATCACCAGACAAAATGTCACACTTTTTAAGTGCAAATCTCATCATTTGATACTTTTTTATTTAATTAAGCTAATATGTCACGTTGTCTCAAAGTTTCCCACGGATTTTAGAATATTGAAATTTTCTATGTTGTTTCATGCCTTTCATCTGGTTTTCTTTAGGGAATTGATTGTACAATTTTTCTTTTTCTTTGTCCTAGCTTCCTATTCTAGTTTTCATATTAACCAGGTGTTGCCATCATTGGTAACAGTGCTCTAAATGATCCTGAAATGACTGTTATTTTGTACTTTGTTTTATAGATTAAATTAAAAGTTACTACATAAAAAGGTTAAATTTTTAAAGATAGACAATCTCAAGCAAATGAAAATATCAGATTTTATGAAAAAACATAGAGAAAAATCAAGATGTTTCTGATATTTCAGATTAAGGTCAACAGGAAAGCTCAGATGATGATATTTTTTCAAAAAGGAAATGTCCTTATTTAATGATGTTTATCAGTGAAGAAAAGATTAATATTAATATGCAATACTTTTGATTGCCATTATTAGATAATTATTGATTGCTTTAATAAACATATTTCTCTTAAATACAAAAAAGAATAGTACACTTTTGCTAACTTTTGGAACCTAAGCTTATGTTTTGTATAGGCTGGATTCATGTAACACAACACTTTTTTGGAATTTTTTGGAACTACTGTATTATATGGGAATGACTGTGTGTGTGTTTGTTTATATGATATAACAATTAGACTTGGTTTTATAAATAATTTCTTGTGTTATATTAATAATCAAACGATAAAGCTGGATTTATTATTGGACTGTACCTTGGCTAATTAAATACACAGATATTATATAATTTGGACTAAAGATTGACAATTAAGTTGTTATTTTGTATTAAATTTAATAATTAGAATTAAATTAATTTATAAATTGCTTAATTACTTTAATTATAATTATTAAATTTAATATAAGATGACAAATTACTTGCCTACCTTTAGTCCAAATTATGTAATATCTGTATTTTAATTAGCCAAGTTATAGCTAAATCTGGCTTTATCATTTTGTTATTAAGAAACTAGCAGTTGTTTTTTTTTACTTGTAGAAAATAACAATTTAAAGTACTTAAGTCTTTTGGTACTAAAATATACAACGATAAATGAAGCAGTCAAGTGTTTTCAAGTTAACATCTTGAAAATATTTTGATCCACATAACAACTAATATTTGTCACATGAAAAATTTAATATTAGATGTTATGCAGTAAATAGATTAAAGTAAATCAAAGTTTATAAATAAAACATAAGCTAAATTTTATTTTAAATATTTAAAGTACTTAAAATTCATTTTTAAATATTTAAATTAACAATGCCATCTAGCAATCATTTTTATCACATAGATCAGAGGATCCTTTGAAACATTGTACTATTATTCCTCAAAGAAGAAAATTTGAAAATGTTTGTTAAATAAAATTATAAACTTTCTATATTTCAATTTAAAAAGATCTAACTTTACAGTTTGGTAAAGAATTTTAAAAGTTTATTTTATAATTAGGCTTTATGTAATTATTTCTAAGTTTGTTTTTTTAAATTTTGGTGCATTATACTATAATTAAGAAAATATAAATATATATTTATGTAAGTGTATATACTCCAGTTATGTAAAATTTACTTTATTATGCTTAATGCAAACAAAAATCCTTCTAGTATTAAGAAAAATGTTGTATAGATGTAAAAATTTAAAACAGGAATAACTATAAAATATAGAAACATATTTTGGTGTAATCTGGCAGTCATTTGGTTTTAATACACATAACATCAAAACATTCAAATTATATAACTTTCAGAAAAAGAGAAAAAAAACAACTATTCATCTAAAGATGAAGAATAAAGAATTTCTTAAAACATTAATGTTTAAGAAACAAGACTCCTCATCTGTCAGTAGATGTTTTTTTAGATGTTTATATTTGTTCTGTACAAGTCATAAACGATATATGCAAATTTTTTTCAAGTAAAGTGGATTTTTATTACATATGTCTAATTTCATTGCTCTTAGACTATGTATAGCATCACTTTTATATTATGTATTAAAATTTGCCTGTTTTGACTTATAAATTTTTCTTTATGGCCCAGATTCATAGATCTAGAGATGCACCTTCTTGTCTGATATTGGTGATTGGCATTTTGGTAGAAGCACAGAATATAACGATTAAAATCTATAGAAACCTGAATAATGTCACACCAATACTTTAAATGCACTATAATTTTAATTATATTTAATGTTTGCAGTCATATTTAATGACCTATAGAAAACCTTTAAGGTTTTGGTCAAAAGAGCCAGCCTATTCTGAACCAAGAAAAAGACTTGGATAGAGCTCAAATAAAAAGTCAGCAATATCTTTCAGTTACAATGATATACAAAATGGCCAATTAGAAACTTCTAAAATCAAAAGAAGAAAGCAGAACAAATAATACACCTTAAAATCATAGTAATGGACCACAAGTTAGAAAACAAGTCTCAAGAAATTTGCAACTATAAAGCATCTAAAAATTGCCAGTGTTAGAAAGCCTGCAGTATATGAACTCATTAAAAACAGAGTACCTCCAAATTCTATAAAAATCAAACATACACAATACTTTTTAAAAAATAATACAAATAATCAAAGCTGTTTTTATTAGGCAGTACAACCAAAAATCTGCAAGATTAGAATAACAGAATAGTTAGACAAACGGAACAATAACAAAACAAAAAAGTGGAAATCTTGCTTCCAAATATAGAAATAAATTCTTTATTTTTGTGATGTCATCAAGCCTTATTATTGAACATGAATAATAATTATTGATTAGAAATTAATCTTATATAAAAATTTATTATTTCTTTTTTTTAACAGAAACTGGTCTTACTACCAAAAAGAAGAGAGGACTCAAAGGCAAAAATAGAAGCCCTTTTGATGGTGTTCTTGTGTCCCAGCTATTGGCACAAAGGGATAAATTAGGATTAAGAAGAGACAAAAAAGATGATATTCACTCCAGAGTACCTTCAGTATCTAACCATTTATCTGAAGCTCAGGGATTACCCACTGTTCATACTGAAAATACATCACTTCAGACCACTACATTATCAGAGAACACAAAACAAACTCTGTCAGAGTACAATCAAGAAAATGTTTTACATTCAAATGTTAGTGAGTCAAATAATTTAACTGGACAATATGAAATGGTTAATACATGGGGAATTACAGATAATGATTATAAAAGATCAGATTCATCAGGATGTACAGATGGTACCATGCATAACCGAACCTCACACGTAACTGTACAAGTAACTTGTTCAAGTGTATGCGGTAGTCAGTCTAACTGTTTGAAACAAGTTCTTTCTACAAATAGTTTATCTTCAGTGGAAACGGAGTCATTACAAAAGAATGTAGATCACAATAGATTACTATACACAAAACCTACAGCTGCATTACCTAATAATAATAATAATAATAATACTTCTCATAATATCAGACCTTGTCTTCAACAACAGCCTTATTCTTCTCCTCAGTCATTATTTTCATCCAGCAATATTGTTGCAGGAAGCATAAATTGCATAAGTGGAAATTATTCAAATCAACCATCAACTGGACATATATTCAGTTCACAGCTGCAAATCAATCAATGTTTAGGTCTCAATGGACAACTTCCATGTGGTATGTTATCTTCACTGTCACAACAAATTTGCTCTGCCAGTGTTCCATTTCGTGTGGATAGTTCAAATGTTATTCCCTTAACAAATACTTTATTTGCTGGAAGTAATAGTATTAATACTACAAATTCTAATATTACAGTGTCACCTCAAGCAGGATTGCAAGGAGTTACTGTTGGAAATATTCCTTCACCACAGGCATCAAATATCTGTGAAGTTGAAACTGTTTCATCCAAACAAAAAATGAAAAAAATAGTTAAAAATAAAGTAGGGAAGTTTGGATGCATGTTAGATCGTACTTCTCCTTGTCCGAATGTTGATGTTAGACAGATACCTCCTGAGCATCATCGCCCTCCTCCTGAAGCAATAGCAGCTATCACTGGAGTAAATTCTTCACTCCATTCAGGGCAAAATTCAATTCCTACTCTACTTTCTGCTGGTAATAATTTAAATTATCAACGTAATTATACTACAGATAGTCATTATACTTTAAATTGTCCTGTTACATCAAATGTTGTAGGATTATCTACACAACCTTGCAGAACAGAGGTTGAAAATAATTTTATTGATTCAATAAGTAAGACTGTAGAAACATCGCAATCTGCTGTGAATTCAACATCATTTATTCACAATGCAAATGCATTAAGTTGGCCAAAATCTCTTTCAAGCACATCTATACCAATTCAAGATTCTATTACAAGCAGCCAACAAACTAAAGGACAGTTGTTTCCTTATCCAAACTGTGCCACAGTTATGAGTAAAACTAATAACACTCCTGTTCATAGTTATAATAATATTCCACTGAATGTACAAATGGCAAATAATGTACAAACAACTTCAAATAATCCAATTTTGAATCGCAATCTCTCTAACTATGAAAATCAGAGTGTGTTAAGTCATACCCGAAATCTTTCAGTATCAAATGCTGAAAGCATGACTTTAATGAACAATTCAGTTTGCACTAATACTAATGGAAATAATTATCAGATAAAATCACCAACACAAGAGTGTAATAAAAATTCTTCCTCCACTTCATTATTACACACATATAGTAATCCCAATGGGGTGCCTTCCCATTCATCTTCCATGTCATCTCTCATTCTGCCTGTAACAAGCAATAATATCATTTTCACCTCATCATTAAATGTTCCAAATTCTTCTGGATGTCCATCTGTGACTTCAGTTAATCAGAATTTACTTGGCTTCCCTGTAACATCAGTTGCAACTCAAACAGGTCAAAATGCAACTGCACCTCTTCCACCTGCATCTGTGATGGCCTGTTTTCAGCAGCCAAGACCAGGTTTAACAATAAATGCACAACAGTCTGTATTATATAATGGTACTACAAATCCAAGTGCAAGTAATCACAATAATTGTGGTCCAGCAGCAACAAATTTATTTATGCCTGCTACATCTTTGTCAGGTATAGATGGTTCAACAGGATCATTACGGCCTTCAATATTACAGCAAAGTGTTTCTCCCGGTTTTCTTGTACAACAAGTATTAAGTCAAAAAGTTTCTTCAGATTATCCTGCTGGTAATGTATTATCATCAGCAGCAAGAGCACAAGTTGTGCAGCAAGTAAGTGGAATGGTTCTTCCAGCACCACAGTCAGGAGCATCATCATCATCTCAGCAAGTTCTTTTGGCACCCACACAAATACGAATGCCAGGAAATAACAATTTAAGTTCCCTTATTACAATGCTTCCAACAGGTGGAACTAGTGGTTCAGTTGTAACGGGAACCCAAGTTCTAGCCTCTCCAGCACAACAAATGGTAATTCAAGACAGTGTGAGACCAAATGTTGTCAACCCTCAACAACAATTATTACAAAATAATTGTTTTATAATGGGACCTTCGCAACCTACTTTTGTAGCTCGGCATCCGCAGACTCTTGTTGGACCTTCACCAGGACAGGTAACATGTCATACAAATATGCCTCTTTCTGTGTCTGGTAATGGTTGTGGTGGAATTCTGTATAATTCTCATCATGATCCTACTTTAGTAAATTCATCATCACTTGTTGGATCTATTTATCAGAAAAATCATGAATCTAATGAAGTAATACAGCATGTAGTTAATGGATCAGAAACACAAGCCACAATAATAGGAAAAGAACAAAATGTAAATGGTAATTATCAGTCTGATCATTCACCTAGCAGAAGATCAATAGTACAGTCTGTTGAAGAAAGTGAAAATGGGCATTGTTTATGGGCAGGAAATCAGGCTTCTGGAACAAATATAAATACTTTAAATAATCAAGTTACAAATGGTGTACTTAATCATGCATCAACATCTGCAAAAGGTGGGTCAGTGCCTTCAAATATTTCTGGTCAAACTCTTCTGTCTAGTTGTGGCCCTGTTTTATTAAATGATACAACAGGTCATTCACAATCATTGACAGTGTCAAATATGACTAATGTAATTCCTATGATGGGAGGACAGTGTGCTATAAATTCTCCAATGCCACCACTTTCTGTTCCCAATGTAACAGCTGTTACCACCTCAATGACTCAAGTTATTCCTGCTGTTGGAATTGCTCCACAAATTTTGGGCCAGCCAGTGCAACCGGTTGTTCAAGTGATAAATGCTGTTCCCTTCAATTCTATGCAAAATGCTGTTCTTGTATCTGGAGGTCCTAATATTCTTTCTCAAACTGTAAGACTTGATGCTCTGCAACCAGCTCCAATGGTTGGAGCATCTCCTGCATCCAATATTTTTAACAGTGTTATTTTACCACCTAGCTCTATGACATGTGTTCAAACATCTCAAATGGCAGCATCAGTTTCAGTTAATTCTCAACAATCTGCTTTACCTGTAACAAATCATAATGATGATGGTAGAAATGCTACTGATATTGCAGCAGAAGCAAGAGCAACTCCTGGGTCAAATTCTTCATGTAGTACCCCATTATCAACATCTAGTTCTACACCTGTACCTGTAAATGATGCCACACAAACTATTTTAAACCAAGGTAATTCACCGACAAGTAGAAAAAGAAATCGTGATGGAAAAAGAAAAATGACAAGTCAAACTGTTGCATCAATGTTACAGTTGGGAAATCAAGTATCACCAGTTGTAGTTCCTGGAATTTCTGGATCTGGACCTCAGCAACAGTTTTTGCAACAACCACTGCTTCATACAGTTACCGTCCTACCATCTTTACAAGGTCATCAGCCACGCCAAGTAATTCATCAACAAGTAGTTAATTACAGCAGCATCACTCCTGTTGGAGGACATCAGCTTCTTACTACTGGTCTTGCCAGTCCTCTAGGAATTGTTCAACCATTAAATATGCTAGGAGTAACACCATCAGGTACTACAGTCATCCAGAATATTCCAGTTCAACAAATGATGCCTGGTCCACCCTTGCAGTCAGTCACTGTACTACAGGGACCACATACAGTCAATCCTATCCCTCAGGACCAGCAACCAATGGTAGTTAATGATCCTTCAGCATTAGGGGTCCAACCAACTCACATCCATAGTGCCTTTGATGGTGGTTCTTTGGTTCCTAATTTGGTTGCAGCAAGTCCTGTTATTGGTACTGCAGTGGGAGGTCCTGAAGTATTAGTTAATGGTACAGTGCAGGCAACACAACCTGTAGCTTCAGTACAACGACAGGCTGTTTCATCACAACAATTTGCTTCTGTGATTCCACAGATTGTTCCATCTACATCTCAAACAGCAACATCTACAACAAATACAAGGAATGTTCATATTACAAAATTAAATGTTAGTGGTTCCTGTGTGGGATCAAATACAAGATTGATGATGAATTCAGTATCTTGTGAAACTCCTGTAACATCACTTTCATCTTCAGATTCTGTTTCAGATAATGCTGATAAAGACTGTAAACTTGCAAAACCTATTGAAGAAGTCTCTTTACAAGCTCGAAGCATTGGTGTGCAAAGTGGAGAAATGGAAGATAATACAGTTACACAAACTTCTAATGTAGAATCTGCTGTTCATACAACAGAACAAGCAGTTACTAATTCAGTGAAAGAAAATAATCCTGAACAAAATCTTTCTGTAGATAATGGACAAGAAAAAGTTTCTGTAGATGGAAATAATAAATATTTTCAGTCTAATGTAGTATGCAGTAATGAATCTGTGTGGTCTAATCCAGTCAATTTATCATCAGCCATTGAGCAAGAAAAATGTGTTGCAGAAGTTGCTCTTCTTTCAGAAAGAGAAACAACAGTAGCAATTGAAAATCAGTCTGAAGTCTCTGAATCTTCAGTTCAAAATGCTATTTCTTCTGAAGAAAATAAAACTGGTAGAAGTTTAGAAAATAGTAATGAAGATGTTAGTGATCTTCCATCTGCTCTTGATCTTAGTACAGCAAATCCATTGATTCCCCTTTTTGAAGCCAATAAAGGTATTGGATTATGCAATGTTGAACAAATTGAAAGAAATATTGAGAAAGAAGAAACTGCTTGTGTAGATATTACAGAAGAATGGAATAGCACAGCATTATCAGAGTTGCCATCTGAAACAACTGATAATGCAGCAGAAAATGCATCAACAGCATCTTCTGACACTTCAGAACAAACAAGTGATGGTCATGTAACAAGTGATTCTGGAGTTGAATCAAGTCAAGAACCTATGAATTTGGCATGCAACAGAGGAGAGCGAAATAGTGTGTCTTTAGAGATGCTTGATGCAATACCAGAGACCCTAGTCACAGAGGATATTTCTCCTCCTTTTGAAGATGTTATTGACCAAGAAATAGAAGATGTACAGAAAAATAGACGTAAGGGTGTAAAAAGACATTGGAGAGAAATGCTAGTTCTCTCTCAAGAAGGAAGTAAAGAACAAGAATCTGAAGGTAAGAAATAAATTATTTTAATATATATTTTAATTTAGAAAAATTTTGCAAAGTTTTACTCTTATTAAAATCTTATTTCAGAAATTGGATCAATATAGTTATATTCTGTTTGGTAAATGTTTAGGACGTTTATTATTTGAGAAACGATTTTTTTTTTAATATGCAATTGCACACCTTCCATACTCCTTCCAGGAAAAACTTTTAATAGGACAAATGTTTCAGCCTCTTTATGGGGCCTGTCAGGTTTTCAAACTAATCTAAAATTGAATGTTCTACAGCATATTCTGAACTGGAATGTTCAAACAATGCAACATTATTTAAAAATTTGTACATAGCATTCCAAAATATTCAAGTTTAAAATACTGTAGTTTGAAAACCCTGATGCAAGCCCCTTAAAGGCCAAAAACATTTGTCCTATTAAAATTATTTGCTGGAAAGCATACAGAAGATGTGGAGTTGCATGTTACTAAAGTGTTTTGGTTTCTCAAGTGTATATCACTTTGTATGTGTTGTGTATGTATATATATCAGGGGTGACCAACAGTTTTTGCCCCTGGGCCAGATTGGAAAAAAACTTTTTCCACGGTCCGAATCAGAGACTGCCCTAGGAAGATTTTGAGGTGGTGCAAGATCTCATTGTGGTGTCACCCCATAGAGACTGAATTGTAGATAGAGATTACAGATATATTTTTCACATTATCATGCTTTATCAACATTCTATGCTGTACTTAAGAGATTTGTAATGAATGGTTAACTCCAAACGCACAGTGAGTTGTTGATTTTTTTTTTTTAGGCATCAGAATGTTTTATCAAGCTAAGGACTACAATATCTAATATTGAAAGATTGATCGCGGGCCACATAAATTCATTAGACGGGCCAGATCTGGCCCGCAGGCCGTATGTTGGCCATGCCTGATATATATCATTACAAAAGTTTGTGTAAATTTGAAATATTAAAAAACAATTTTTCATGTTATGATAGAATCTGTATTCACTAGTAGGCATGGTTAATGTATACTTGATATAATTTGCGTTAAATTCCTTTTGTGTTTCAATGTGAACTGTATTTCTGTTTGTTACAGTGAAATAATAAGGAACTTTAGGAATCCTTTAGGAATATAGGATTGTTCATAAATTACATAACACTATTTTTATACTTTTCAACCACCATTATTCTCCATAATGCTTTGCACTTATCCACTCCCATCATAATGATTACCTGCATCCCATCTACCCACTTATTTGTTATGTAATTTATGAATAGCCTTTACATTTATAAAACAAAAATAATTTAAAATTGCATTAATTGGCTATACGTGAGATAGATATATGGAATAAAAAATTATAAAATGTAAAAATTTTAATTAATAAATTTTAAAAAATAAAATAGAACTGTACTATGACAGAACTGGATATACTACTGATACAAGGTGATTCTAAATGAATGGAACAACTTTTGTAATTACAGATGACTTTCCTTAAAATGAATACTGATAAAGTGAATTCTCGCATAAAGCAAAGAAAAATTTTACTAGATTTTATGTTAAACAGAATTGTAAATTATCTTTTTATTCCCCCAAGAAATAACACTATTTCCAATAATGTTTGCTTTTTTTACACTTTTAGTCATGAACAATAAAAAGTGGAACTGAATAAATGTTCCATTGAATAGAATAGATTTTTTTCTTCTTCTAGTAAACAAAGAATGGGTTAAACCTCTAATTATAGAGCAATTCAAACATCTGGTTTTAGCAAATCATTCTATTTTATCTATTTTACTCAGAAAATAAGTATGCTCACCCTTTAGTTGGATGCTGTCCCATGCAAATACATGCTACTTTGCATATTGGGGAATGCATACAGTGATGTCAGATTTGGCTACTTTTTTCTCTTTCAGTGCCAAAAAATATTTTCTATTTTTTCAATCTTCAACAGAAAAAATATCACACATTTCTTTTAGTTTTGTTTTGTTTAACTACTATGGTATACTGCTCCACACTTAAATGGCAAATAACAGCTCTTCCTCATTTTGTTTGATATGAAAATCATTGAGAACATTAATTTGTTTGTGTAAATTTAATTTTATTTAGCTTTACATTAGAAACTCAATACAATGGGTGTTCGGTTAACGAACATAATCCATTCCAAGACTTTGTTCGTTAACCGATTATTGACTTATCATAGGTTTTTATGGGAATTTGATTAATTCGTCCAGAGACTCCAAAAAATAAAAAATATATACTTTTTTATTTTTTGGATATTTTATTTTTATATTTTTTATTTATTATGTTTATTTATATGTAATAGTAAAAATACATATATATATATATATATATATACAGTCTTGCATTTTTATTAGTCATGTTTTTTCTGTTTGTGGGGGTTAAAGAATCTGTCCAATGTCAATTGCTTTTCTCTCTTCAAGATTTTTCAGAAGTAATTAATAACATTGTAATTGTAGATATCTCTAAGCCTATTAACCTCAAACTGGTTTGGATGCCATTCTAATACCTTCATTCTGACATCATCCCACTTTAATATCAGATATTGACATTAATCATCTTTTCAGAAGAAAACATATCCTGCCAAGTTTCTTGGTGTTCTTCATTCAAGAGTTCTTGGCATTCTTCTGTCATCAGATCAGTTTCAGAGTCCATTATGAGCTCTTCAATGTTCTTTATTTCACAGATGTGATTTTTGTTACTTCTTAAGTTGCTTGAGTCTTCTTGATAATACAGTATCTTTCTTAGATAAGATTGAACTACTGCCTACTGTAGACCTGTTCAAGCCATACTGCCCAGCAGCAACAGACATCAGACATTTGCCCACTCTCTACCTGTGATATTATACTCTCACCTTTCAAAAATAAAAACCGACGCAAACTTAATGAGTGCCTGCTCGACAGTCTCGCAAATACTATAAAAGAATTGTTTCTGTCAGAAAAATAAAAGGCTGGAATTACAAGGGAGAGTTTCAAAGTTCAGAGGAATACTATCTGATCAGTATATACTGAGTTGGGCATCGATGTTGATGTCTCCCGCGCTCCAAAAGTTTCAAATCGTTGCCTGAAGACAAGGGAAGATCAATCGATATTCATTATTTTACATTGCTTCTTCTTGTGTTTGTTCTGTGATGTGTTCGTTATCCGATCATGTGTTCGTTGTTCGAACATAAAAATTTTTCGCGAAAGTGTTCATTATCCGATTTGTTCATTAACCGATCACCCACTGTAATTTGTATATCTAGGACCAGGGGATAACAAATTATAGAAAATCTACAAACAATAATGAAAACACATTTTGAAATACTTTTGTAGTTTTAATTAACACAATACGTAACTTATAACCTATTTTTTTTTACAAAAATTTTTTACAAAATTTGGAAAGCATTTTATCAAAGCTGAGAATATAACTTAAAAAAATACCTTACATACATTAAATCTTTCCAGAATGTAAAAGAAATTGTTCTTTTGACTTTAGATGTGTATACATATTGTATTTTAAAAAACTGCATGATATTTTTAAAACTATTTTTTTGTGTTCCTTCTTGTTGCTAAGTTGTGCACATGCTGCATTGCAATTAAATTCAGAATTTCTGCTTCATTTTGCTGTTTATATATTCAATGCAGTTTGATAACATTTCCTCAACTTATTTGCAATTAAAATGTCAAGAATTAGATATGTCATCATCATCATTATCTACTGCTTCATTGTCTATGTCTTTGTGTGGTTACACATTCAAGAAGTCAAGAAGCATCATCCAGCAATTGTTTGTTTTCATCACTGTTACTTCCATTAAGTACATTTGATGGCCAAATTTTATTCCAACTTTGAGAAAGTGTTTCATTTGGAAAATTATTCCATACTTTGTCTGTGTTGAAAATTGCATGTTTAATAGTGCATTGTTTCTAAAAATTTGTTGAAATTTTACCTGGATCATAAATAAAATGTTGAACAAATATTTTCCATTAGAAACACTTCAAATTTTCAATCCCTCCCTGGTCCATTGGCTGAATCAGATAGGTTATGTTGGGAGGAAAAAGATGCATTTTACATCTTTTTCAACTTTTAAGTCATTCAATGGATGAGCTGGGACATTGTCCATAATTAAAAGTGCTTTTTCTGGTAAATTTTTAGATTTGCAATACCATTCACTTGAACTACAAACACATTACAAAACCCAGCTGTAAAAATTTCTTGATCCATCCGTGCAATTTTTTGGACTTAATAATCAACAGACAATAGTTTTTGATTAAAATTTTTTAGATTTCACAACTACTGTTAATGGATGTCTGTGATTTCCACTTGCGTTTGAATGAACCATAATTGTCAGTTTTTCTTTCTTCATTTTATACCCTAGAGTCAAAGTTTTTGAATGAGATGCTGAAGTTTTCATTGGTACAGCTTTCCAGTAAAGATTGCTTTCATTGCAGTTATATGCTTTTTCTCTACTTAAATCTGAACTTGAAATGTGAGAGATCAATTTTTCACAATAACTTCTAACATATTCACTATCAGCACTCATAACTTTTCCTTGAACAGAAAGCTGCCAAATTTTGTGTCACTGCTTAAATTTCCTTAGCCACTCTATATTTGCCTTAAATTCAGAATTTCTATTCATTTTTGTATTCATCTCTAGTGCTTTTTGGATTAAAATTGGATTAAAACCACGAGAGGAATGCCTATAATTTGTTGTTGTATAAACCGTAAATATGAGTGCATAGCTTCATCTAAACTGGTGTTTGCCTCTGGAGTAAGTCTAATAAATTTACTTATGTCACTATCAATAACTTCCATTCTTGATATGAAATTTTAAATTTTTTCTTCATTCAAATTAAAATTCTTTATGTTGTTTTGTCGACATTCATGGAATTTTATAAATTCCATTTTGTCACGTGGTTCTCACATAAAATTTTTGAATTTTTGTGGATGTAAAAGAAATTGGAGTGATGGCTCACATGTTTTTCTATAGTAAAGAGTTTCTTTTTATTAATTACACAAA